AAACATCAGCCCCCTGTAAGGGAAACCTATCCTCCGTCGGGAGATTTTTTGCGCCAACTCTGTTTTGTAAATTATTTTCCGCAAGCTGGATCTCGGTCACAGTAAATTCATTATGAATTATAAGTTTATGTTAATTTCCAAACATTCAAACGATGCATTTCTTAATACCTTTATAAAGTAAAAAAATATTATAATTTGGTATTTATACACTAAGGAAACATTTATAATTAAACCTGCAATAACCTGCATAACTTTTTTTATTTTTTATTCAACCCACAGAGCTGTATAAAGGTGTTGGTCCTGGGTCCTGGTACTTGAGTATTTTAGGACTGGGCTAGCAAAAATATTTAATAGTCTAGTTTTAACTTATCCGTAATTTACTATTCAATGAGCAAAAGTATTTTAATTTGCCATTACAATCCTCAAAAGAATACATAGAATAATCGTAATGATTTTTACTTTTTAGTTATATTTTAAACTTTCTTATGAGTTAACTCTGTATAAATTTACAAGTTTTGTACGGTAGTAGTAGCAGTAGTAGGTCAAGTAGTGTGGTATAAACGTCAATCATTCTCAGACTAGATTCAGGGTTCCCGGAACGCCGCCCTCAGCGGCGTGTGCAAAGCACAACTCAAAATCAGAAGTCGGAACGTGAAATTTGGATTTGGTTTTGTAGTCAGATTTGCGAGAAAAACTTCGGCTACCCGTATTTCTAGACTGAGACGTCAGTTGGAGCTGTAATTTGTATGGCAAGGAGATGGTGCTACCCTTAATTCGTATTATGGAATTACGCCCACAAACCTTGTAGTTGTTTTTGTTATAATAGAAATTTTTTTGGTGACGTCACACTCACAATATAGTTAACATGCATACGTCATAAGATTACGTCACCTTTCCCGGTAAGGTAATTTATAACGCCCATCTTCTCTTCTCGCAAATCTGACTACAAAACGATATCCAAATTTCACGTTCCACTTCTGGCTCTGAGTTGTGCTTCGCACACGCCGCTGAGGGTGGCGTTGCGGGAACTCTGCGTCTAGACGCGAGTTTTACTTAGCCGA